TCCTGGCTATAACTAGCAGTATGGGATTCTATTTGGTTTTCACATGTAGGCTTTCAAAATAATGTTCCATAGAAGCCAGTTAACATTTAGCAAACATGTTTTGTGTGTGCTGATTTTAAAAATTTGAAATACCAGATTCAGACGTTGGAATAGAATCATGTTTCACTATTTTTGTTTAGACTAGAGACACCAAACTTTGGCACATTTTGCTGTAATAAGCGTCGGTCACAACCTGCCGTACGTGCTTCTGCGTGCAAAAACGTGGGCAAACGTAGGGGATCCGTAAGTGGTGAGTACCGCCTCCGTACAGAATCTTACAGACTTGGGAGCACGTACATGTAGACACGCCATAGAATTTTATGTGCATGTAAAACTTGCCAGACGTAGCGTGCAGACTACACTCTTACACCTTGCGCAACCGTGCGAGTGACGTGCGTTGACGCCACTCCTTCCCCACGTTTTCAGAAAAACGTAGCAGACGTAGCCTTAAAAAAAAAACGTACGGACAAAAAGCACGCACTGCGGGTTGTGACCAACGCTTTACCTGAACATCCATGAACTTGATACAGTCATGCAGAATGGTCTCATCCAGACCACTGTGACTGGTCATGAGCATGACTGTGATTTTGTATGCTGTAGCCACCAGCTGATAGTGAAGTCTGCTGGTGAAGTCTTCCCCATCCAACGGACCCAGAACACGTTCTAGTGTCACTATTAGATAGTCTGTCAGGTTTTCACTGGTTCCATCTAGGAGCAGTGGTTGGAGAACCTGTAACAAGTAACGTTGGATTCATCAGAAAAATTAACATGACTGTAGAATCTGATGCAGAACCACAGGTTTTAGTATACATACATGTACATGTAGTTCAACTTAAAGTTTGCAATGCCTTTGTCATGATCTCTATGAAAAACACTTTGAGGTTACTGTTTTAGGGTGTCTGTGCATCTGTTTGTCTGTCTGTGTTTCCACATTACAGCCTAAGCTTAATGTAAGAAGGATGGATTGTAATGATTGTAGTAGATGGGTAGGTATTGGAAAAATTTGGGCCTCCAGGCAGCTTTTGTTGGTATTGCAGTAGACATGTTTTTGTATCTTTTGTCCTGGACTGCCATGGTCTTGACTTTTAGTGGCAGAAACCTTTCAATGACGATGTCAGTTAAAAGTGGTGTACAATTTAGGTTGGAATGCTTTCAGAATATTTAGACTGCAGATAGAATACATTTTGAATGCCAGTCAGTATTGGGATTTGCCACAAAATTTTGATTAAGACCAAATTGAATATATTTAGGCTGACCAAAAGAATGGGTACAAAAATATACAGTGCTGTATTTGGAAGGTAGTAAGAATTTCTTGAATGCACTTCAAATATCCAAGAATAAACAGAGAATTTCAATTCAGAGTAGACATTCCAACTCATTCTGCCTCTACTGTGAAGGGGGTGCTAGATTGCAGTGTACAAGATACTTTTTTGAACCAGGTTGCCCAGTGGGAATTCCAGGGAATTTTAGGTTGCCCCACCTATAACTTACTACTTTCCTCAAATTAAGTATAATTGTTACTTACATATTAAGCCTTTGTTGCCCCACCTACATGTATAAGTTACTACTTTCCTCAAATGTTATATTACATATATTAAGCCTTTGACAATATTTCTAACAGCCTTTAGCTAACTGATACTAGTAATAGCCATTAATACCTAAAATTAAAAAGCATCTGCCTGATACAGTGGTGCAAGCCAAGTGGGCATAATTTTTTTTTTGGGGGGGGGGGTTCTTAAAATTCAGGTATCACACTGTACATTGTACCTTGGTTCAAAAATAGGTTGCCCCAAGTAAAATTTGGTTGCCCGAGGCAACTGGGCAACCAGGTTTTTTGCACACTGGATTGTGAAACAAAGTGTACCTGTATGAGATGTTGAGAGTTGAGTGCATCAGGACACCACACGATCAGGTCCCCACAGAAGTGCACCAGACTGGACAGCACATGTTTGACAGATGACATCAGGGAGAAGGTCAGCTGGCTGGACAGCCCGGTCACATGTGCCTTCACAACCAGCTCTGTGTAGCTCTCACACGGGATGGGATCATTAGCAAAAGTGTTCCTCCACGCTCCGGTACTGGGATATTCATTTCCTAAGAGATAACAACAAAAAGAGGTTGAAGAAGTTAGAAGTCTCAAAAATGACTTGCCACTCACAGGATCAGCCCTGTTGCTTACATGTAACAGTACTGTCTCACAAAGTTCCCAAATTTCCTTGTCAACATGGTAAGACATTGGCAGGGAACCGATCCATGAAATCAGTCATCACAAACGAAGGGTGCTTCACTACAAATGAGGTACATGCATCAGACTGAGTATAAAGGACACATCTTTAAAAGTAAGGACATAACATGATCAAGCTGGAGATATGATCAATGAAAGCTAGGTTTCTGAACTTTTTTTGATAGGTTTCCATGTACCTATCATTCAATAATTAATCATAATAAACATGTATGAATGTATAAAAGGGGAGGAGGGGTTGTACAATTGTTCATGTGTCTGTGGTACAAAATGTTATCAGATGTTGGCAAATAGCAGTACAAGATTAAAAGGTACAAGATTAAAAGGTTTAAATCAATGTTGCACTTACAAATCATGCACAGTGGATTAAATGGCAATTATCAATGACTAAGTGCCCATGCACAAAATATGAATAGTATTAGTACTGCAGGCACCTGATGTGTTATTCCAGTTGTCCACTGCTTTGCGAATTCCTGGCGGCAGACTGGCCATGAGAGCCAGACCCAGAGATGAGACTTTGGACAGGCGGGTGCACCCCACTCCTAGGATAGCTTGGTAGGCAACAAAAGCATCTGGAGTCCTGTTGTCCTTACCATCTGCACCAGTGGTCTCCTGTAAGATAACAAACAAGCAGCTCTGTTACCAGGGTCATGGTCAAAACACTATTCTGAGAAATGAAATATGCTTAGCTTCAGTTGGCCGTTTTAATCATATATATATTATTTAATATACTTAACCTGCAACAGAAATCATCTCAGTTTGCTGGAAGCACTTTGCAGGAGATGCTCTGTTGAAAATCAGCATGTCACCATTTCTTGAATGTCAACATTTGTTAAATCCTTTTGTAGAATGATGTACCTTGTACACATGATTGCATGATTGTACAACATAGCTTGTACAATCAACAAGCAACATAGCTTGTTAATAGCTATATCTTAAGTATGCCTGTCCCACTGTTCCTTTGAATAATTTTTCAAAGACAGGAATCTGTCAGCTTGCTTAGCAGTTACTGTGTACACACATTTCATTGATATCTATGTTAAAGGGACCGACATGCCCAGAAGAGACTGTGTCACCCTGAACCAGACAAGGTGGCAACTTGACACTTCTAGTCGAGTGCTGTGTACATGTACATGTAAACCCACATTTAGGTTCAGGTCCGGACTTGTAAGTCTGGACCTTAACCCATGACAATCATATTGTGACAACCCGTGCACAATACAAATTGCATTTTGTATGGGGAAAACTGTGGTCACATAACATGGAGGCCAACACTTAACAATGCGTTGCAATGTTTTCTTCATTTTGCAGCACAGATCTATTTTGGAAATAAAAGAGGTATGTGACATGGATTTTTTTGTAATAAATCCAGAATTGATTCTGGACTTTTAGCTTTTTGTTACTTTTTGTTACAAGTCCGGAACCGGTCCAGCAAACCAGCACATAGCACTACTTGACATAGTATGTTAAGAGCACCTGTGCAGCCTGCAGCTGTAGAGAGGACATCCAGCACCTGATACACAGCTGCAGTGATGGACCCACCTGCACAGAGACATACCTCCAGTGCAAGAGGCCAACAAACTGCACAGAACTGGTTATAGAGCCACAGCGACAAGCTACATGTAGGATGATGATGATGATACGTTAAAGGTTACGCACCTCATACAAGATGCAGCATTTCGCCAGCCCAGAGTAGATCTCCACCAACTGGAAGGTGGCAGGCAGCAGGTTTCGGGCGATGTCCATGGCTTTGTGGGGGTCTGTGTCCACCATGGACTGGAAAAAACACTGATCCAGAGCCACTTGTAAACTGCCAATCACAGAGTCCAACACATATGCTGCACGGAAGGTGGACAGGTGTTGTCTGCACACCAGATCTTCTCCTGGCACGATGCTCAGCTCGGATATCTGCAACACAACAGAACAACAAAACTTGTCATCAGGACTGGGTCACTGCTGGGGTGCTCGGGAAGAACTGATGTGAGTCTGCTGCCCCCCTGCAGCTTGTTCTGGAACTGCAGTTGTTTTTAAAAAAATCTTGGAAGGAGGATAGCTCAAGGACCAGTTGACGGATTGTTGTGATTTTTGGTATGTGGGTAGCTTGACTTAACTAGATGACATTATCAGGATCTAATTTGCACGAATGATGAGGAACTTCTATATTAAATCTGCTGCATTCCATGCTAGGACTATTCAAACTTGTGATTATGCAGTGGACAACAAGAGGAACATTCAATTTGGCAGATAAGTATGTAAAATGAAGATATTACTTGCATAATCAATGAGAAAAATGCTGTAATTATAATAATTCCATAGTGGTAACTGCTAGGAATGTCATACTTGCAGCATTTGGAAGTTTCGTCAAGATAACTCATTCAAATCAGAAGTCATTTGCATAATTTATAAGGAAATGCCAGAATATCCCTCTTTGGCTAGAGAATATGATCAACTTACTGATATAATTCCTTCAGTAGAGGATCTTATTTGCATAATCAATGTGAAACATTTACAATCGTCATTTGTAAGAGGCTAACATATTTTGGCAAAGGTATGAGGTCATGTACATGTATGAGGTCATGAAACTCTACTTCATTCTCCTCTCATGTATGACAGAAACTGGCACTCAACATACATGTACATGTACATGTGTAAGTCAAGTCATTAAAAACCCTTGCCTGAAATGAGTTGATATATAAATAGGTGTACAATCAAAATTTCTACAGATACGTTAATATTCATTTGATTATTATTTCTATGCTTGAAATGAACTTGATATTTTTCTGGTTATAATCAAATGTCTCTACAGATACGTTAATATTCATTTGATTATTATTTCTATGTTTGAAATGAGTTGATATCATTATGATTATAATCAAAATGCCTCTACAGACAGTATCATGTTCTGTATCATTTTCTGTTATTATTATTGTATTATTATCTGGATGGTTCAAACTTTGTATCTTTTATGTGAAAGAATAATTTCACAATGTTTTTTTTAAAAAGCTTTATTCAACAAAACAAAAAATACATAGACAACAATAAAATAAGAGTACACACGCATACACCTAAACGCACATACTAACTACAAAATGTAATATACAAGTACATATTTGAAAAATCTTAAACAAGTATATATATAGGGCATAAGAGTTCCCACTTTTTTAAATTTTTTGTCTATTTTGTTTTTAACTGTTGCTATATGTTTTTCCATTCATTGCACATTTTTAACAAAACAAAAACAATGTTAGATCATAAAAAACCTTGGAAGAGTTGACTTACCTGTCTGGCCATACATTCCTCTGCCAACTTGATGGCAGTTTTGACAGCCTGACTGTGTCGGCTGCAGGCAGTCAGTAATGTCTCAGCTTCTGAGGAAGGTAAGGCCTGCCAACACAACCAGTCCTGTGGACAGAACAGTCATGTCAATACATGGATAAGTACGGTCTAAATTGAAAGTTTTGTTTTCTTGACAGTTAGGTTTAGCTACAGCTGCCCATCTACATGACACATGTACAGTATAAGACTTAATACATGTTCATTCAGGCCTGGGCAAGAATTCACCCCTGACCTGCATAGCACATCAAAACTTTGAAGTGAAGTAAATACAGTATTTTTTGTTCCCAAAAAGATCATTTTAGAACATTTATGCAATTGAAAAACAGTTACATGTTGGTGTATTGGCTGTGAGTGTGTGTGTG